ATCAACTGATTCATAATCAAGTGATTCCAAAAGCCCGTCAGCATGGATTTTCTTCATGTGCTTTACACCAATATGACCTAAACGGCACTGCCACAAATAAGTTGCACTATCATTATTAACTTAGCATCTTTTGGCTTAAATATTATGAATATGTGTATCACTACGATCGAGATCCAACGAACCATTTTCATTGGGTGTATGGCCATAGAAGGTTTTATTCATGTAAACAGAACAACAATTATTGTCTAACTTAAATGAATAACAGTATTGCAATAAACATAATCAAATCATATTCATGCTCAACGCAAACACCAAATAACATTTATTTAGGCTTAACACTAATCCCGAAAGTATAGGGAGTGTGCGATGATGATCATATCAATCTTGGAACCACTTCCAACGCACATTGTCACTTCACCCTTAACTAGTCTTTGTTCATTATGCAACTCTCGTTTCGAGTTACTACTCTTAGCAGTTGAACCAGTATCAAATACCGAGGGGTTGCTATAAACACTAGTAAAGTACACATCAATAACATGTATATCAAATATACCTATGTTCACTTTGCCATCCTTCTTATCCGCCAATTACTTGGGGTGGTTCCGCTTCCAGTGACCAGTCATTTTGCAGTAGAAGCACTCAGTTTCAGGCTTAGGTCCAGACTTGGTTTTTTTCACTTGAGCAGCAACTTGCTTGTCGTTCTTCTTGAAGTTCCCTTTCTTTCCCTTTGCCCTTTTCTTGAAACTAGTGGTCTTGTTAATCATCAACACTTGATGCTCTTTCTTGATTCCTACCTTCATCGATTTCATCATCATGAAAAGCTCGGGAATCGTTTTTGTCATCCATTGCATACTATAGTTCATCACGAAGTTCTACTAACTTGGTGATGGTGACTAGAGAATTCTTTCAATCACTATTTTATATGGAAGATTAACTCCCACTTGATTCAAGCGATTGTAGTACCCAGACAATCTGAGCACATGCTCACTGCTTGAGCTATTCTCCTCCATCTTTTAGCTATAGAACTTGTTGGAGACTTCATATCTCTCAACTCGGGTATTTGCTTGAAATATTAACTTCAACTCTTGGAAGATCTCATATGATCCATGACGTTCAAAACGTCTTTGAAGTCCCGATTCTAAGTTGTTAAGCATCGTGCACTAATCTATCAAGTAGTCATCATATTGATCTAGCCAAACGTTCATAACATTTGCATCTGCTCCTGCAATAGGTTTGTCACCTAGCGGTGCATCAAGGACATAATTCTTCTATGCAGCAATGAGGATAAACCTCAGATCATGGATCCAATCCGCATCATTGCTACTAACATCTTTCAACTTAGTTTTCTCTAGGAACATATCAAAAATAAAACAGTGGAGCTAAACGTGAGCTATTGATCTACAACATAGATATGCTAATACTACCAGGACTAAGTTCATGATAAATTTAAGTTCAATTGATCATATTACTTAAAAACTCCCACCTAGATAGACATCCCTCTAATCCTCTAAGTGATCACGTGATCCATATCAACTAAACCATGTCCGATCATCACGTGAGATGGGGTAGTTTCAATGGTGAACATCACTATGTTGATCATATCTACTATATGATACACGCTTGAATTTTCGGTCTCAGTGTTCCGAGGCCATATCTGCATATGCTAGGCTCGTCAAGTTTAACCTGAGTATTCTGCGTGTGCAAAACTGGCTTGCACCCGTTGTAGATGGACGTAGATCTTATCACACCCGATCATCACGTGGTGTCTGGGCACGACGAACTTTGGCAACGGTGCATACTCAGGGAGAACACTTTTATGTTGAAATTTAGTGAGAGATCATCTTATAATGCTACCGTCAATTAAAGCAAAATAAGATGCATAAAAGCTAAACATCACATGCAATCAATATAAGTGATATGATATGGCCATCATCATCTTGTGCTTGTGATCTCCATCTCCGAAGCACCGTCATGATCACCATCGCCACCGGCGCGACACCTTGATCTCCATCGTAGCATCGTTGACGTCTCGCCAACTATTGCTTCTACGACTATCGCTACCGCTTAGTGATAAAGTAAAGCATTACAGGGTGATTGCATTGCATATAATAAAGCGACAACCATATGGCTCCTGCCATTTGCCGATAACTCGGTTAAAAAACATGATCATCTCATATAATAAAATATAACATCATGTCTTGACCATATCACATCACAACATGCCCTGCAAAAACAAGTTAGACGTCCTCTACTTTCTTGTTGCAAGTTTTATGTGGCTGCTATGGGCTGAGTAAGAACCGTTCTTACCTACGCATCAAAACCACAACGATAGTTCGTCAAGTTAGTGATGTTTTAACCTTCTCAAGGACCGGGAGTAGCCACACTCGGTTCAACTAAAGTTGGAGAAACTGACACCCGCCAGCCACCTGTGTGCAAAGCACGTCGGTAGAACCAGTCTCGCGTAAGCGTACGCGTAATGTCGGTCCGGACCGCTTCATCCAACAATACCGCCGAACCAAAGTATGACATGCTGGTAAGCAGTATGACTTGTATCACCCACAACTCACTTGTGTTCTACTCGTGCATATAACATCAACGCATAAAGCCTAGCTCGGATGCCACTGTTGGGGAACGTAGTAATTTCAAAAAAATCCTACGCACACGCCAGATCATGGTGATGCATAGCAACGAGAGGGGAGAGTGTGTCCACGTACCCTCGTAGACCGAAAGCGGAAGCGTTAGCACAACGCGGTTGATGTAGTCGTACGTCTTCACGATCCGACCGATCAAGTATCGAACGTACGACACCTCCGAGTTCTGCACATGTTCAACTCGATGACGTCCCTCGAACTCCAATCCAGCCGAGCTTTGAGGGAGAGTTCCGTCAGCACGACGGCGTGGTGACGATGATGATGTTCTACCGACGCAGGGCTTCGCCTAAGCACCGCTACGATATGACCGAGGTGGATTATGGTGGAGGGGGGTACCGCACACGGCTAAAAGATCAAACGATCAATTGTTGTCTCTTAGGTACCCCCTTGCCCCCGTATATAAAGGAGCAAGGGGGGAGGTATGGCCGGCCAGGAAGCGCGCGCCAGGAGGAGTCCTACTCCCACCGGGAGTAGGACTCCCTCCCTTTTCCTTGTTGGATTAGGAGTGGGGGGGAGGAGGGAGAGAGGAAGGAAGGCGGGCGCCACCCCCCTCTCCTTGTCCTATTCGGACTAGGGGGGAGGGGCACGCGGCCCTACTCTGGCCGCCTCTCCTCTTCTCCACTAAGGCCCACGATGGCCCATTAATCCCCCGGGGGGTTTCGGTAACCCCTCGGTACTCCGATAAAATCCCGATTTCACCCGGAACACTTCCGATATCCAAATATAGGCTTCCAATATATCAATCTTCATGTCGCGACCATTTTGAGACTCCTCGTCATGTCTGTGATCACATCCAGGACTCCGAACAACCTTCGGTACATCAAAACTCATAAACTCGTAATATAACCGTCATCAAAACTTTAAGTGTGCGGACCCTACAGGTTCGAGAACTATATAGACATGACCGAGACACGTCTCCGGTCAATAACCAATAGTGGAACCTGGATGCTCATAATGGCTCCTACATATTCTATGAAGATCTTTATCGGTTAAACCGCATAACAACATACGTTGTCCCTTTTGTCATCAGTATGTTACTTGCCCGAGATTCGATCGTCGGTATCTCAATACCTAGTTCAATCTCGTTACCAGCAAGTCTCTTTACTCGTTCCGTAATACATCATCCCGCAACTAACTCGTTACTTGCAATGCTTGCAAGGTTTATAGTGATGTGCATTACCGAGTGGGCCCAGAGATACCTCTCCGACAATCGGAGTGACAAATCCTAATCTCGAAATACGCCAACCCAACAAGTACCTTCAGAGAAGCCTGTAGAGCACCTTTATAATCACCCAGTTACGTTGTGACGTTTGGTGGCACACAAAGTGTTCCTCCGGTAAACGGGAGTTGCATAATCTCATAGTCATAGGAACATGTATAAGTCACGAAGAAAGCAATAGCATCAAACTAAACGATCAAGTGCTAAGTTAATGGAATGGGTCAAGTCATCATCATTCTCCTAATGATGTGATCTCGTTAATCAAATGACAACTCATGTCTATGGTTAGGAAACATAACCATCTTTGATCAACGAGCTAGTCAAGTAGAGGCATACTAGTGACACTCTGTTTGTCTTTGTATTCACACATGTATTATGTTTCCGGTTAATACAATTCTAGCATGAATAATAAACATTTATCATGATATAAGAAAATAAATAATAACTTTATTATTGCCTCTAGGGCATATTTCCTTCAATGTCATCCAACTGTGTGTTTCCCTTTGGGTTCTCACCTTCACACAAAACAAGGAGCAATCAAATCCATGCACATATTCTGACTCTAGTCTTCTCTCATTATCTTCCAACTGTTCAGAAGTGTCTAAATGAGTGGACTGTTTCCTAGGAACACACTTTGAGTTGCTCTGTCAACTTATTGTGTGGGTATCATAAGTCAAAAATTACTTAAATTAGAACAAGTTTATATGTATTAATAACATATAGCAATACTTACAACACCAAATTAGTTTAATTCATTGACTTAGAAGGAAGAAGAACCATATCCTCCCTCCGAAAGTGTTGCGCCTTCCAATTAGCTCATCGGATAGGTAGACCCTTTTCTTTTTCTTTGTTTTCTTTTTGCTTTTGTATAACTACATTCATAAACTTTACAAATACATGTAGCAGAAATAAATTCCTACTATTTTCCTTGAAGAAGAAGTTTGATGTAGGATAAATTAGACCTAAAATTAATTTGGAAAAAAAATACTACCCCCGGCATATGGCAAAATAACAAGCTATCATGATCTCTCGGCTTATTACCAGTGTGGTACATATGTCTCTCTAGTATTTCCAACAAATTTTGTAGTACTACTGCACATCACGAATTACAAGATCAAGATAAGCAAGCCTCAACTTTTCAGCACGCCGGCAGACGCCGTCTGCCCACCCCTGGCGTCTCTTCGGTCGGGCGACGCTGCCGGCGAGCAGAACGCCGGCGTTGCCACCGTCGACGTGCCCTTCTCCGTGGCCTCCTCTATCGTGGACAGGCACCTAGTGGGCCCACCGAACAACCTCTTCCACCTCTCGAGCTCGCCCTCGTCCGGCTCGTCATCCGCCTCCTCGCCGCCGCGGGCCGCCCGCTGCCGGCTCCTGGCCAGGGACGTCGTCCGGACGAACCGGCCCTGGGTGCCGTCCTGGCAGCAGACGCCGAACAGGACGAAGCCGCGGGCGGACGCCACGCCCTCGCGGTCGAGCCACCGCCTCCGGACAAGGACGACGAAGAGCAGGACGAGCAGCACGACGAAGATTGCGCCTGTCAACGCGGCGGCGAGCACCAGGCCGGCGTCGTCCATGATTTCTGCCTCCTCCCTCGCCTGAGATAATTCGAAGCAAGAGCTGTGCAAGAATGTGCACTACTCTTTTTTTTAGAACAATGTGCACTACTCTCTCTGGTAGAATTTCTGCACTTGAGATGTGTCTGTCAGGGACCAAGTAGTTGCCGGTCTTTCTGCTCCCGGGCTGCCAGTGACAGTGAAAACGGCGGGTTCGTCTCTCCGTCCTCGGAGACGAATTGAATGCACAATGACTCGGGTTGTGGTCATTGGTCAATGGCAATTCACCACACGGTGCCTCCCGGCGACCATTCCATACTTGCGATATTTCTTGGTGCGGATTTTTCAGTATTCTTCGGATAATTCTGTGGAGGGGAGGAGCTGATGCTTGCGTTGTTGTTGTTTGCTGCTGGTGAGCTCCGCTGGCCTGATTCTCCCTCGAGAAGGTCGTTGCCGTCAAGCAGCGGCATGAACCCTAGCGAGTTGATACAGTCTCAGTACGACTCATTGTGAGAAACTAAATACGTGAACATTTATAAACTGAACAACTCTAGATATATATGATTATTATTTTTCCAGAAATGATATTGGGCGAACATCAGATTTGTAGCGAGTTCCATCGAATCATCCCTCAGACTGGTCATAATGGGGAGTAACTTAGACTAGTGTCATGTATATGACACTAGACTAAGAGGCTGCTTGGATACGTTTTAATCTCATGACTAAAAGTAGTGGGATTAAAACTTGCTAGTCTCTCCCATGCTTGGATCCAAATACTGAAGAGACAAAAATCAAGTTAATGAGCATTTATTATCTTCCAAACTCTCCAATCAGAACTCGCCTGTGTTAAAGGAGAGGAGTTAAATAAGGAGAGAGAGAACTAATCCACATTTTAGTAGGGGTACCCCTGACTAAAACATTTTAGTCTCAAGACTAGTTTTAGCCTCTCTTTAGTCAGGGGTGCTTGGAACTTTAGCCTCTTAAACAGACTATTTTTAGTCAGACTAAAATAAGTCTCTTGGATCCAAGCACCCTCTAAGTTACTACCTTCATAATGCAAAGTAACATAATGGTAGTATCATAGATGACTTCATTTATTACCTTCTAGACTCATCTTGTCTTGAAAAACGCTATGTTACAGTAACATATTATGTTACCAGCTCTCATTAATTACTTGCCACATAAGCAGAATTTTCTTGAAGTGCGGTATGTTACTAGCTAAGAGGGTGCTTGGATACGTTTTAGTCCCATGACTAAGGATGCCCGTAATGGGAGTATCATAGGTAGTATCATGCATGCCAACTAAGCAATTTTGATGAGGTGACATAGAATTAAATGAAGAAAAAGAGGCTTGAGTATCATATCATAATACCGTATCATATTGAATGATGTGCTACTTTGTGTCATGCATGGCAATAAATGTAGTCCTTTATGATATCAACATATGATACTATACATTAGGGATGTAGTATCATATGCATGATACTAGTATATGATACTCCCCATTACAACCAGCCTAAAAGTAGTGGGACTAAAACTTGCTAGCCTCATCCATGCTTGGATCCAAATACTAAAGAGACTAAAATCAAGTTAATGAACATTTATTATTCTTCAAACCCTCCAATCCAGAACTCGCCTGTGTTAAAGGAGAGGATTTAAATGAGCAGAGAGATGACTAATCCACATTTTAGTAGGGGTACCTTGACTAAAAAAAAATTTTAGCCCCACTTTAGTCAGGGGTGCTTGGAACTTTAGCCTCTTAAAAAGACTATTTTTAGTCAAACTAAAATAAGTTCCTTGGATCCAAGCACCCTCTAAGTTACTCCCACTATGACTAGCCTCATGCCGTCGGATCACATGCATGCATGTTGGCGCAAAAAGTCATGCCACGTCAGATCCGAAACTCGTTCGCTCGAGACAAAAGCAGCGCAAACGTAACTAAACAAAATAGGGCCACTTTAGAGCATCTCCAACCATTCGGCCCCCTCAGGGCTTGAAATAGCGTCGTCCTAGGGCGCGCCGGCTGAAAAAACAACATGGGGCCGATCGGATTTCCAGCCGCCGCCCCCAGATCGCCCTAGGCGTCGTTTTTTAAAGGTTTTTAAAAAACATACTTGGCCAAAATTCAGCCGGACACGACATAGATTCGACACAATTTAGGCGTTTCATCATTTTTTACATATTGAAGAAATAATCTAAAACAAAAATAGAAAACAACAACTACTACTGCTGCACCACCGCCGCCCGCCGCGCCGCCTACAGGCTGAAGAAGTTGTTGAAGGCGATGTAGTCTCCGATGTCGTCGTCGTCGTCCTCCTTCTTCACACCGCCACCGTCTCTGCTGGACCCCTGCCCGGGGTGGCCCTGGCGGACTGGTTTGGCTGGCGGCGGCGCCTCGTCGTCGCCGTCCTTGAGGACGATGACGCCGCCCTTGTCGTGACCGCGGGATCTCCTCTATGGTGCGGCGCTTGTGCTCCATCTCCAGTCGGACCCAGTCCTCATGCGCCCACTTGATAGCGGCCTCGTCGGCGATGGCCATGTCCTTGTCCTCGCTCTTCACGGCGTCGAGGCCTGGCTTCGTCTTCGGCTTGACTAGACGGGAGGAAGGAGCAGAGGAGGAAGAGGCACGGCCGCCCTCGTTGATGACGAGGGCACCGCCGCGGGTGCACCGGCCGAGCGGCGTCTTCACAGGCTTGGCCTTGACGTTGGCGAGCGCCGGCGACCCAGAGGAGCGAGAGGAGGAAGAGGTCCCGCCCACCATGCACCTCGGAAGCTAAGGGCCGCTGTCGGTGTCAAAACCGGCGGATCTCGGGTAGGGGGTCCCAAACTGTGCGTCTAAGGTCGATGGTAACAGGAGACAAGGGACACGATGTTTACCGAGGTCCGGGCCCTCTCTATGGAGATAATACCCTGCATCCTGCTTGATTGATATTGATGAATATGAGTATTACAAGAGTTGATCTACCTCGAGATTGTAATGGCTAAACCCTAGAGGTCTAGCTTGTATGGCTATGATAATGAGTCTCCCCTATCCGGACTAAGTCCTTCGGTTTATATAGACACCGGGAAGATCTAGGGTTACACAAGGTCGGTTACAAAGAAAGGAATCTACATATACGGTCGCCAAGCTTGCCTTCCGCGCCAAGGAGAGTCCCATCCGGACACGAGTGCAGTCTTCGGTCTTCGTATCTTCATAGCCCATCATTTCGGCCCATGGTTAATAGGCCGGACGCCCGAGGACCCCTTAGTCCAGGACTCCTCAGTAGCCCCCGAACCAGGCTTCAATGACGAGGTGTTCGGCGCGCACACTGTCTTCGGCATTGCAAGGCGGGTTCCTCCTCCGACGTCTCCCAAGTAATGTGTTTGGCCTTCAATTCAGTGTCGCACCCTTCGGCTCCTGTGCATTTATGACTTCATCCTCCATGTGTCGGGCGAATACGGACGGTCGGGGTATCTTTTGCAAATAACGCCCTAGCCCTGCAAGAAAGAGTGTCTATTTAAAGAGATTGGATCTCAGATCCTTTCGGCACCACACGGAGAAAATCCTCAGATACTGCCATGCAAAACCATTCTAACATGGCCAACATACCCAGCTCCTCTTCTCGTTCCAACCCAGAGAGAGGCGAGTGGGAGAGGTGCTCCATGTCGCACAGCCAATTGGTGAAGCTGCAAACGCAGGGATTTCTCCCTCCTGCGGATCTGGTCCCTGTTCGAGCAGTATTGGCCTCCTTCAACGGCAAAACCCAGGCGGAGAGTTTCCCCAATCCATCTGCGGGAGAACGAGTGTGCTTCGTCCCCTATCTGCTGAGGGGCGTGGGATTTCCAATTCACCCATTTCTCCGAGGGCTTCTGGAGTACTATGGCCTCCAGCTGCATAATTTTACCCCGGCCTCCATCATGCACATTGCAGGTTATGTCGCTTTATGTGAACTTTTCCTGGGTTGCGAGGCCCATTTTGATTTGTGGAGAAGACTGCTCTGCCTCGTCCCTCGCAATCAAGGTGGGTCAATTTTTGAAGTGGGAGGAGCCGAATTGTGGCGCATCGTCGGGACCGGATACCTGTCCGGCACGCCGAAGAAATCTCCCAAAGAGTGGCCTTCCGAATGGTTCTACATCGACGATGTCGCTCTACCCGATCCCGTCCGCATGGGCCTCCCCGAGTTTTCAAATGCTCCACTGAAGAAACGCCATAGCTGGCGTCCTTGGAGCCTTGAGGAAGAGGATAGTGCGGAGGTCGTCCTGCTGCTAGGCAAGATCAAGGCGCTTGCCTAGTCCGGATTGCCAATAGTCGAGGTAATGGCAATCTCTATAACACGGGGGGTCCAGCCACTCCAATACAGAGGGATGCCCATGTGGCATTATAACGGGAAGGACGACGCCTCACGCTATGGTTGGAAGGGCCCGAAGACCCCCACCGCCCTGGCCAAAATATTGGTCGAGATGTATAAAGGGGAGAAGGAGGGGTTCACCTGTCTCAAATTTTCCATGTATAATCCTCCCAGCTGGGTAAGGTTCAGCTCCACTATTTTACTCTTGTCCCTGAATCATTCTTGACAGGCAGCGTCTTATCTGCTCATAACAGGAATGGCGAAAGGCTGTCGAGGGGATCCATGACCCTGCCCCTTAGCCGGAGAATCGCAACCGAGATCTTGACCCCGGATATGAGGAAGATCCGGACATATTTGTGGAGCTTGAGGATGGAATATTCTATCAGATGTGTTACGACGGTACATATGTACCCATTATCACCGACTACCCCGGCCTCCTTACTGCTTCACGTATAAATAATCCGAAGACACCTTATCAAAAGAGTTTTCTCATTCCCCCTTACCCACCGCACTGTCCTGCGCTTTAGAAGGGGGAGCGTTTGGCGCGCCATGCTGCCCCGGGGGCATCTCCGAAGAGAGCGTCCCCCATACCAGGGAAGCCTTCCAAGAGAAAGGCCAACGAAGATACGGCCGAGCCTTCATCAAAGTGGTGTGAATTTGCAAGTATGCATCTTGGCAGTCACATCCAACTGTGACCTTTCCGTTTACCCTGTATCAGGAAAAAGGCATGCCGGACTATATCCGGGGGTCCAACCGGTCATACTTCCGCATCCGGGATTCAAATCCTGCCGTGAAGACGGGGGGTGACGCCGGACTGTCCTCCAGCCGAGGACTCGGATGATGTATCCGTTACCAACTCAGAAGTGGAGAGCGCCATGAATCATCGGCGCCGCAAGGCCGTTTTACAAGACCCGGGCTTTTGAAAAGAGTCATTTAACGCTTTCAGCTCGGCCGATGCATACATCCGAGCTGCTCAAGATGGGCTTAACAAAGCCACAAAACGACATTTAAAAGATGTGCAGGTAAGTTTGTTTTATGATAACCATATACCAGTAGCCCCTGAGACTTAAATTAGTTGAAACAACTGATTTAAAGATCAATGTACAACCAGGTGCTTACGGAGAAGAACACCCTGTTAACTCAGGAACTAGAAAAGTGTCGGAGCCAGCTGTCTGCTGCCAATGCCGACCTGGAGAAATCCAAGAAGGCATCCCCCGGTAATGTTTCCCTCCATCGAGAAATGATAAATGTACACTAATAATGCTAATCTGGTTGCTTATCTTTGTATTGGATTGTTAGACCAACTGCGAGAGCAGCTGGACGCCGCTCGAAGCGAAGAACACGGAGCCAAAAAACTGCTAGCAATGGGCGAGCGTGTGTTAACAAAAGTCGTTCAGGAGAAAAAGAAGCTCCAGGATTTGAACACCAAACTAGGCGAAGAACTGAAAGACGTGCGAGCTCAGCTAGCTGACTCCATGAAGGAGAACCAAAAACTGCGAGGCGGCATATTCAGTATGTGGCCGCATTTATCTTATAATGGTGTGGAAGTAACAGTAGTTGATATAGCTATGATTGCAGGTGTATTGACGGGCCGCCCCGAAGAGGAGGTGTCCAGATCATCAAGTGGTCTTCTGCAAGAGCTGTCGCAGTTGCATGAGCAAGCTTGGCAGGCAATGCGGAGTGTAGCCAAGGCCTTATGGCCATCCGACTCCCCTCCAGGGAGTATGGAGAAACTTGTAGAGCTGTTCAAGGGAGCGCGGCGGTGTATCCCTCTATGGAAGATATCGGCATGCCGAGAGGGTGCGCCAGAAGCCTGGGCCATGATAAAAACGCGGTACACCAAGCTGGATCCAAATCACATGGCCCGGGTCGGACCACTAGGGTCAAATTGGGAAGAAATTCACGTTAGTTTAGTATATGTCCAAGTAGAGGTGGCTGCTAAATACTCACAACAGGATTGTAAGTTTGACCGCCTGTTGGACGGTATAGAGGAGGAAGTTTTTGAGTCCTAAGTGAAGGAAATATGCCCTAGAGGCAATAATAAAGTTATTATTTATTTCCTTATTTCATGATAAATGTTTGTTATTGGTACCTCTTGAGCACTGCGTTGGATTTCCCTGAAGAAGAGAGGATGATAAAGCAAAGTAGCGTGAGTATTTCCCTCAGTTTTTGAGAACCAAGGTATCAATCCAGTAGGAGGCAACGCGCGAGTCCCTCACACCTACAGAAAAACAATAGCTCAACGCAACCAATGCGCTTAGGGGTTGTCAATCCCTTCACGGTCACTTACGAAAGTGAGATCTGATAGAGATGATAAATAATATTTTTGGTATTTTTGGTATAGAGATGCAAAGTGAAAAGTAAAAGGCAAAGTAAAAGCAAAGCAATAATAAAGTGATGGAGATTGATATGATGAGAAAGAGACCCGGGGGCCATAGGTTTCACTAGTGGCTTCTCTCAAGAGCATAAGTATTCTACGGCGTGTGAACAAATTACTGTTGAGCAATTGACAAAATTGAGCATAGTTATGAGAATATCTAGGTATGATCATGTATATAGGCATCACGTCCGAGACAAGTAGACCGACTCCTGCCTGCATCTACTACTATTACTCCACTCATCGACCGCTATCCAGCATGCATCTAGAGTATTAAGTTAAAAACAGAGTAACACCTTAAGCAAGATGACATGATGTAGAGGGATAGTTTCATGCAATATGATAAAAACCCCATCTTGTTATCCTCGATGGCAACAATACAATACGTGCCTTGCTTCCCCTTCTGTCACTGGGAAAGGACACCACAAGATTGAACCCAAAGCTAAGCACTTCTCCGATGGCAAGAAAAACCAATCTAGTAGGCCAAACCAAACTGATAATTCGAAGAGACTTGCAAAGATAACCAATCACGCATAAAAGAATTCAGAGAAGATTCAAATATTATTCATAGATAGACTTGATCATAAACCCACAATTCATCAGTCTCAACAAACACACCGCAAAAAGAAGATTACATCGAATAGATCTCCATGAGAGAGGGGGAGAACATTGTATTGAGATCCAAAAAGAGAGAAGAAGCCATCTAGCTAATAACTATGGACCCGTAGGTCTGAAGTAAACTACTCACACTTCATCGGAGGGGCTTGGATGATGATGTATAAGCCCTCCGTGATCGATGCCCCTTCCGGCGGAGCTCCGGAACAGGCCCCAAGA